TGCAGTGCCACCCTCCACCCGCCCTAGTCCTTTGGGAGGGGGGTGTTTTGGGGACGCCTGGAGGCGTCCTTGGGGGGGTACTGTAAGGATGGTACTTTTCTGTGGCCCGGTTTGTGTCTGTTTCCCTCGTGCTCCCTCATTAGTTTCCATTGTTACCACCCGTGTCTCGTCCCAGCTGTCTGCAATTATGTCTCGTCTTGTCTATGCATAAGCCACCTGTTCCGTCTTGTTCTTCGTCGGGTCGTCTTCATTTGGGTACTCTTCCTTAGGTCTCCTGAGTCTTTCCCTGAGTCTTCCTGGTTCCTCGAGTTCCCCGTGTCTCTCGTGTCTCCTGAGTTCCCCGTGCCTCCTTCCTAAGTTCATGTAAGTTTTGCTGCCCCGTCAGCTTGTTATTTTGTACTTTAATTTCTCATTAAAATCCTATTTTTGTATTCTGCCGAGTTGAGTCCCTGTTCTGCACTCTGGGTTCGCTCCTGACACAAATCTTAACAGCCCAAGACTTTGGAATGAGTTACCTCTGCTCGTTAGACAGGCCCCCTCCCTCACAGTTTTTAAATCTCGCTTAAAAACACACTTTTATTCCCTGGCTTTATTCACTGTGTGATCTGTGCTGAGTGTGTGCATCACACTGTGTTGGTCATGTTGCGGTTGTTGTTGTTATCCATTATTGTTTTTGTTGGTTTCTACTTTTTGGTGTCCTGTTATGTAATCTGTTGCTATGTGCTTGTTCTGTTTGTCCCTGTTCAGCACTTTGGTGTGCTTTGTCACTGTTTAAAGTGCTTTATAAATAAATTGGCATGGTATGGTATGGTATGTTAGGTTGACTGTAACTCTAAATTATCCCTAGGTGTGAGTGAGAGAGCGAATCCTTTTATGTCTCATTTGTCTCTATGTGTCCCTGTGATGGACTGGAGACCTGTCCAGGGTGAACCACACCCCTTGCACAGTGATTGCTGGACATGGGCACCGGCGACCCCCGTGATCCAAAATGGAAGAAGCGGGTAAAAGATAATGGATGGATGGATGGATGGATTTTAAGCTACTAATAAACACGATGGATGATGATCTTATTGCTTTATGCTAGGCCACTGGTAAGAAGGAGTGAATATTGTTAATGTTTCATATTGGCTAGTGATTTTTTTCCCTGTGTTTCTTAAGACTGTGACTAGGATGTGTAAGAGAAGTGGAGCGTGCTCTATTCACACAAGGAGAGCTGTTGGTCAAGCTATTATTTTTTTTTGCTGTGCCATTAACTCAAATACTTACTCACTCAAGTGTTTACTTGTGTATGTAAAACTAGATGTTAAACAACCTGGTAAAACACACCAGAATGCAGCAAATGGCATTTATTCTAAATTTTCTGGGGGAGGACCCTCAGACCCCCCCACCAGTGTGTCCCCCCATCATTACAAATATGCTCCTGACACCAATAGCCACTGTGTTGCTAACCCTCTCCCAGAGCACGAACCTCACCTAGACCACACATGGACCCCCCACAACAAAGCAGAACTCTCACATATAACACTACACATCTCGTGAACAAAAATATTATTGTCTTTTTCATTTTAAATGAGCCAAATCACTTTTATTAAAAGTAAACTACTGAAAATTGCTGCTGTAATTTGATTCTTTTAATAAGCCATGTAACTTGCTATGATCCCAGGTTTTGAAAAGGTCTGATACTGGTGTGTGGCCACAGCGTGCACATGTGATGTTGCTCACAGTGGTCCTCAGTGCACACAGGGAGGTAGTGTGTTTGCCCAGACACATGAAAAAAAAAATCTGTTTTTAATACAAAGCCAACTGTTGTACAAAGTCAGAATCAGAATCAGAATCAGAATGCCTTTATTGTCATTATACGCAGTACAATGAAATTAAGAGCCACTCCTTTTTCCAGTGCAAAAACACGCCTTAAGAAAACACACATTTAACACACTAAAAATATAAAAAATGTAACGCAATATAGATATAATAATGAAAGTAAATAAATACAAGTATTTCACAATTATATTGCACATTATGGATATTAGTGAGGTAGTTAAGGTGACTGAGGGTATGAAATGTCAGTAGTGTTGCACAGTAGAAGTCCAGGTGTTTGGGAGGTTATATTATTAAATTAGTGCATGTGTGAGTTCAGTGTGGTGATGGCTTTCGGGAAAAAACTGTTTTGAACCTGTTTGTTCTTGTTCTGATGCACCTGTAGCGTTTCCCTGAAGGTAACAAGTCAAACAGTTCAAAACCCGGGTGTGAACAGTCCATGATTATGTTTTCTGCTCTGTTGAGGCAGCGTGATGTGTAAATGTCCATCAGGGAGGGGAGAGGGCAGCCAATGATCTTTTGTGCTGTCTTGACTACTCTCTGAACTTGTACAAAGTTTGTTGTACATTTATTGAAATATAAGCAATGAGCATCAGAGAAATTTTGAAATGTTCAATATGCTTAAAAATCCAAATAAATTGAGGATTACATTGCACTAACCAGTGTACTTTGGTTTCTAAGTACAATATACCCACTACAGAAATGTAGAATACACCACTGCCTCCACCAGTGAAGAGACAGAACATAAAGTAGGTGAGTGTGTTTGCTCTGACCTGCTGTAAGGCTTCTCTGCTGTGGTGTTCAGCTGGAAGGCGTGTTCAAAGTTATACAGACTGATCACCTCCTCGTTTAGCGTGTCAAGCTCAATGCCCCCCTTAAATTTAGGCAATGCAAGAGGGGGAGGCGGCTGACAAGAGAAAGAAAGAAGCACAGCATAGACAATTACTTTTTAGGACATTGTTGCAAATAAAATAAACAAATAGAGCTGGCGGGAAAGGAAGAAAAAAAAAATTTTATATCAGTGACAATTTTGCAACGAAAAAGCAACATTTTTTATGAATAAATCAAGAAACTAACAATAAAGTTATGATATCCTTGATCTCGTAAAGTTATAAATTTGTGAGGGGAAAAAAGTCGAAACTTCTAGACTTCTGGACTTCTCTTCTGTACCTGAAGACATTTAGCTCCTAGAAGATTTTCTCAACAGGCTCCTATTTAAACTCATACCCTTCACATCAGAGAGAAAAATAAAGACTCTCCAGTGTAAGACGTTTTAGAATAGAAGTCCAGTTGTTTGTTTTTTATGTTAGGGGTGATTTATCATGCCTTGAATGATCGAGAATCTACACCAGCACAAAACGTACAGGGTTAATGTCTTGAAGGTACCACAACAAAAGTACAACCACAAAAAGAAGACTGAAGAAGTCGTTCGGATGAAAGACAAAACATTTCTACAATTTTTTTGTTTTGTTTGGTTTTTTGAATGTCCAGAGGACCAGAATTAACTTTTTTAGATTTTTCTACCTGGATTATTGAGCATGCATCAGGACAACCACAAGATATTTACTGAAACTGGTCAATTGAAATTTGTTAAGGGGGGGCATGTTTGCTAAGATTATTGACCTAAATTTATAAAAAAAAAGGGACATCTGACTATTCCCTCAGACAAAAGTGGTAAATTTACAAGGAGGAATTTGTGGAAGAACAACCCTCAAACCTCTGTACCTCATAGGGGCAGAGAGAGGGGCAGACCTGCCAGACATTGGACAGGTGAAGACTCACCATGGACGCATTGACAAACGCCTGCAACAGTGAGGTGCAACATGCATCCATAGAGTACATCTAGACTTTTATTCTAACTAATTTAATGTTTGTATGTAAATATAGGACAAAGAATTTGGCATTTCTGTGAATTTCCAACAAATTTTGTCCTGCCCACCAACTTCTTTCACTATTAGCTTATTTTCACTCTACAGATTCTAAGTGAGTCCAGGAGGACGGCCCTCACAGAGCAGATTTGGAGTGGATCTAGGAGGACAGTCCTCTGCAGTTTCTGAAGGGATCCAGGAGAACCAGACATAATCATTATGGATGTCCAGCAGTGAAATGTCCATCACTATGCAGCCTTTGATGGGGGCTCACTAGACGAGGATGCCTGCTGCTGCTCTGCAGACATTCAAGGCTGGTGGTGTAGCTAGAGTAGGAATTAATTTTCTTAGGGGTTTTTTTGTTGCCTTTTCTAAACTTAATATAGTACAGTAGTCCCTCGCTACTTCGCAGTTCATTTTTTGCGGACTTGGCCTATCGCGGTTTTTCAAAATAAGATTGGATATGACACACAATTGGCTGATTGATGGATGAGCTGCACAATCGGCATGAATTTTTTTATTTAAAATAAATTATTGTAAATTATTTAGCTCCTGCTGCACATCTGTGCAGCCCAGACAGCAGGAGAAGCTGCCTCCTGCTGCTGATCAGCTGATCTCCATGCAGAGCAGAGAAGTGGGCGTGGCCAAGAGGTGGCCAAGAGCGTTTGCAGGTGGGGAGAGCAGCCATGGCAGAGAGCTGAGATCATGACATTCTGTGCTCTTTTAGAGCTTTAGAGTTTAGAAACATTGCTCAGAATATTGCAAGAGTGTGGGAAGGGTTTCAAACACCTTAAATATATATATATATATATATATATATATATATATATATATATATATATATATACACTAAAATAAACTACTACTTACTACTTGTACTACTACTCCTACTTTGTGGTTTTTCATTTATCGCAGGGCTTCAGTGTATGCAAACCCCCAATAAATGAGGGACTTTGTTTATTGCAGGGTATCCGTACAAGAATGTGAACAATCACAGAGTGAGTGTCAGCATGCAGAATAATAGACAGGAGGACAAAGTAGAATAATTCTAGTGACAAACTTTGGGACATTGAGAGACTTCTGATCTTTTTTTTTTAAATCATCACTGATCACTCGTAAAATACAGTTGAACTAACAGCATAGAATTTTAATGTATTTTTTAACTTTATTATTATTTACAGCTGTCCATTTTCACTTTCACTTCATTGCTTTCTGACAACAAAAAGAGTAAATACTGCAATGTGAGCGAGAGCTGCTCCATTGGAAACTCAGACACATTAATCTTCATCCTGTGAGCTCAAGACTTTAACTACTTTCTTCTTTAATGATGGATGTGTTGTGGCAGTCCTGCATTCATGCTGAGTTTGGGGAGCCTCGCCTCAAGTCATCACTCTTTAGCAACTTACATAATTTTTTTAACACATTATATGCATATTGCTTAGTTTCTGACATGGAAACAAACATTAGTACAAACCTACAATTTAAAATAAAAAATGTGTAAAAAATCATGTGATATGACAATATGTCAACAATTTCCTGAGGGATAAATAAAGTTCTTACGTGAATGTTTTTAAAAATGAAGAAGATACGTGTGCTGGTTAGAGTCAGAGTCATCCAGGGCGTGGTTTTTCTTTTTTCCTTTGCTTAAAACCTCAAACAATACTGCAGTGAGACTCCTCAGAACTATGAGGCCTTTTGAACACCTTTACTTACTGCAAAAGTATTTGGGTATCCTCCTACATAGAAGACCGTATCACTGCTTTGGAGAATGAGCAGGCCCTGACCACCTTGGGCCTCCACATCAGCCTTGATGATTTCAGTCACATCATTGACCACTGAAGACACGGACATCTGTCCGTACTGGAGGATCCTTTGTTCAGACGACAACAGAAAAATATAAATCACATGGAAAGAGTTACAGATAATGTCCATGCTAGTAGATAACAGCACAACTGCTGAGGAGTCTTACAGAAAGTTAATACAATGACATTATTAAACAAAGGACTAGCAATCATTGAAGAAATGTACATCTCCCACTGCCTTTCAGTCCAGAGTTGAATGACTCTCAACCTCGACCATTTAATCTCAATATTTGAATATGTAACTGAGTTGAAGCAAGTTTTGTGTTGGCTGTGGTGGCCATCTTGGATTGAACTGGCTTCATCAGTTATTCAGTCATCGATATACATCCAGTGTCACTTTTATGAACGTTTTATTAATGTTACAGAAAAAATGGACAAGGTCAAAAACATTGCCTCGTTGTCTTTGGCGATAAATGGAAACATCTTCTTCTTCTTTCAGCTGTTCCCTCTTCAGGGGTCATCACAGCAATTCATCCTCCATCTCATTCTGTCCTCTGCATCTTCTGTCCTCACTCCAACTAACTTAATGTCCTCTCTAACTGCATCCATATGTCTCCTCTGTCTTTTTCCTGGCAGCTGCATTTCTAACATCCTTCTACCAGTATACCCACTATCCCTCCTCTGTACATGTCTAAACCACTGTCCCTCCAATGGACATGTCCAAACCACTGTTCCTCTTCTGGACATGTCAATTCAATTCAATTCAATTCAATTCAATTCAGTTTATTTATATAGTGCCAATTCACAACAGATTTGTCTCAGGGACTTTACAGGAACATTCAAATACATAGAAAGGCCAATTAGTAAAGTTCTCTATCTAAGGAAACCAGCAGACAAACATGTCCAAACCATCTCAGTGTGTCCTCTCTAACTTTATCTCCCAGTTGTTCAACCTGTGCTGTACCTCTGATGATCTCATTCCTGATCTTCTCCGTCCTTGTCTCTCCTAAGTAGAACCTCAACATCTTCATTTATGCTACTTCCAGTTCTGTCTCCTGTCTTTTTGTCCATGTCTCTGTCTCCAGACCATACAACATAGCTGGTCTTACCACTGCCTTGTAAACTTTTTCTTTTGACCTTTGCTGACACCCTTTTGTCACAAATCACTCCTGAAACTTTTCTCCATCCACTCCATCCATGGAATAAATGGAAACATCTTGACCCAAAAAGATACAGAAAAACTGGTCCATGCGTTTATCACTTCTTTGGGGGGCCGAGATGGGGCAGAGGTAGGGCAGCCGACTTAGGTCCAGAAAGTTGTGGTTTGATTCCTGGCCATTCCCACAAGTCATGTTGTCTCTGAGCAAGAGAACTAATCCATAATTGCTCCCCGGGTGCTTACATAGCTGCCCACTGCTCCACCTGGGTGTATCTCAGGTGTGATGGGTTAAATGCACAGAGACACAGAGACTATTTCACCATTGTATGGGAACATACAGTGATGACAATCTCAGACTTCCCTTTTCTTCCCTTCTAGACTGGGTTAGTGTAATTCTTTATTACCTAGGCATCCCAAAACCTGTTAAAATGTCTTCAGTTTATCTAAAAAAGTGCTGCCAGAGTTCTGATGAGAGTTAGAAGGAGATATCGTATTTCTCCAGTTTTAGCTTCTCTGTTTCTTTGCTTGTTTCCTTTACCTTTGCAGGAAGACCTCGTTGAAGTTTCCATCAGCCAGGACATCTTTATCAATCATCGCCTGAGCAGTTTTTCCTCCAACATTATAATACCAGGACAGTTTATTCCCCTCTCGTGCCATGCCCAGGAACTCTTTATTGGACTACAAATTCCACAGACACACATTGATAGATTAAAATAAATCTGAAAATGAGAGACACTGAACACAATGTAAAACAGCACAAAATGGCGCTCTCTGCGGTTGTAGTTACGTCTTTGTTGCCGAGGTAAAAGACAAACTGCTTGGTGATGTCATCTTGCCGTCTTTGCCGTGCTGCATCCGTCAGGGTGATATAGAACCTCAAGGAGTTGTAGGCAGCAAGGTCAGCCAGGTTTGAGGGAGTACGGACCTGAACACCTGAGGCCCCATTGAATTTCATCGACACCCTCACCTGGATGAACAACACAAGACATTAAAGGAAGGAGACAAAGAGGCTAAACTGTGATGTCCTTTGAGGTGATGAGCACCTTGCTGGCAGCATTGCGCGCCTGCTGGATGAGCTGTCGAATACGGTTGATGTTCTCTGAAATGTTTGGCATTTGGATGGAGTGATTCTGTAATTCATCTAGTTTCCTCATCAGTGTAGGAATGGTTTCACTCAGCTTGTTCACTAAGGAGACAGAGAATGCAAAAGTTATTTGTGGCAGTTTCACATTATGGTAACCAGTAATAGTTTTACCCTGTAAATATTTGTTTATCTAATTTTTTGCTAATAATTATTTCATGTCTTCTGTTGTTTAATAAATGTGAAGCTGAAATAAATAATTGTCTTGAGCAACACCTACATTCATTCAACCTTTATTTCTACAGGTAAATCCCATTGAGCCTCGAGGACTCATTTACAAGAGAGACCTGATTTCAACAAAGAAAGATGACAACAATGGACAACAGCGACAACAATAAACTATTGGGGGAGTGGTGGCGCAGAGATTAGAGAGGTGGGCTTGTGATCCGAAGATCGCCGGTTCACGCCCCGGCCCCGACAACATCAAAATTGTGGGTGGGGTAGGTGAAACACCCACACTTGCCCCCACCCTCATTCGCCCCACTCTGGGCCCATGAGCAAGGCCCTTAACCCCCACCATGTGCTCCCTAAACAGGTCTCTCTTGAAAATGAGTTCTCGTGGCTCAATGAGACTAACCTGGATAAATAAAGGCTAAATGAAAAAAAAATGAAAAAAATAAACAGTTATAAAAAGTCATACTGCAGGTTTTCTTTTTTTTTTTTTTTTTTACAAATAGGATGGCTAAAAGAAAAAGGTAACAAAATAAAAAACAGCTAGATCATAAGGCGAATGTAGAAAACTAAAAACAGGAACATGTCTGCATTGGTCCCTGCCAGGAGTCCAACAGATTCTTAAAACCACTTAGAGAGGTCAAAGGTCGAGAGCTTCAGATCTTTTTACAAGATATTCCAGGAAACAGGAGCGGAGTAGGAGAAGGTCCTTTTGTCTAGTTCAGTCCTCACTGAGGGAACACTGCAGGTAATGATGTCCTGAGAGCGCACGCTGTAGCTGCACTCACACAGAGACATGTAGGAGGAGATGTATGAAGGCAGCAGACCAGGAAGTGATTTAAAGATGAAAATGTACCAGTGAGAGAGTCTGCGTGAAGTTAATGATGTCCAGTTAACCAGTGAATACAGAGTGCAGTGGTGGGTACGATAATCACAGCCAGTTATGAATCTTAGTGCACCATGATAGACAGCATCCAACATCTGCAACATCCAACATCTGCAGCATCCAACATCTGCAGCATCCAACATCTGCAGCATCCAACATCTGCAGGGTTCTTGTAGGACCGTTCATGTAAATAATGTCACCGTAATCAATGGAGGGAAGGAAAGTCACAGATACAAGGTGTTTCCTAGCATTCAGGGTTAGACAGGATCTGTTTCTGAAAAAGAAACCCAGTTTAACTTTCAGTTTCTTTATCAAGTTTTCCACATGGAGCTTAAAAGAGAGATGTGAGTTGACCAAGATACCCAAATATTTATAGGAATCAACAAACTCAATGGGGACACCATTTGAGGATAAAATCGGAGGAAGAAATGCTGGGACCAACTTCCTATTTGAAAAAAGCATCCCTTTGGTTTTGTCGGCATTTAGGACACGTTTGAGGCGAAACAAATCAGTCTGGATGATGTTAAATGCAGATTTCAAAAACTGGAAAGCCTTAGCAACTGTTTTAGCTCGACAATAAACAACTGTGTCATCAGCATAGAAATGTATGGATGCATCAGGGATGTTTTTACCTACATTATGTATGTAGATTGTAAAGAGGGTGGGTCCTAAGACTGAGCCTTGTGGTACACCATTGTTGACTGTTAAATAACTGGAGGAAGTACCATTATGTTGAACACATTGCCTCCGGTCTGAGAGATAGTTAGAGAACCAACCAATGGTGTGATCTGAGAAACCGATTTCTGAGTTTATGACACAAGATGTTATGATCCACAGAGTCAGAATCTTTAGACAGGTCTAAGAAAAGTGCAGCACAATAATCCTTAGCATCCAGTGCTTCAACAACGTCATTAAGAACCTTCAGTGATGTGTCATTGTGCTGTGTTGTTTCCTGAAACCAGATTGATGTGGAGGTAAGATGTTAAATGAGTCCAGGTCATTTTTGATTTGAGAGTTTATCAGTTTTTCTAGAACCTTGGCTAAAATGCAGAGTTTAGAGATTGGTCCATAGTTGTTCAGTGAGGTGGGGTCTCCTCCCTTCAGCAAAGGAAGAACAAAGGCTGTTTTCCAAGTGTCTGGGATGGAGTTTTGTCTCATGGAGAGATTGAAGATGTGGGTCACAGGGACTGTGATGATATGAGCAGCCAGCCTTAAGAAATAAGGTGGAAGTTCATCTGGACCTGCAGATTTTTTAGGATCAAGATCTTTAAACAGTTTATTGACCTCACTGACTGAGAATGGAGAAAAAGAGAAGCTGTGATTAACTGA